AATGACAGAAATTCATGTTTAAAGCATTACTGGTATTGGATAACATCCCAGGACATCCAACAACACTTGGATCATTTTTTTTTGACACGAAACACATCATTATTGCAGCCTTTTTTTCAAGGAACCTGGAGTTTACCTCGAGTGAGTTCTTGGGGTCAATGCCCCCCATGACCTGGTCTCTGACCAGGCTTCATGGTGGATCAAGGCCTGATCACCCAGGCTGTTACTGCTGGCTGCATGCAATCCAATGTACGAACCACAGCCTGGCTGGTCAGGTACCGTCTTTAGATGCTTTTCCAGTGCCTGCTTGAAGACAGTCAGGGATCTATTCGTAATCCCCCTTATGTATACTGGGAGGCAGTTGAACAGTCTTGGGCCCCTGACACTTATTGTGTTGACTCTTAACATGCTAGTGGCACCCCTGCTTTTCATTGAGGGGATGTTACATCGTCTGCCGAGCCTTTTGCTTTCATAGCGAGTGATTTTTGTGTGTAAGTTTGGTACTAGTCCCTCTAGGATTTTCCAGGTGTACATAATCATGCATCTCTCCTGCCTGCATCCCAGGGAGTACAGGTTCAGGAACTTCAAGTGTTCCCAGTAATTGAAAGGTGCTGTTAGTGTGCAGCAGTATTCCAGCCTAGATAGAACAAGTGACCTGAAGAGTGTCATCATGGGCTTGGCATCCATAGTTTTGAAGGTTCTCATTATCCATCCTGTCATTTTTCTAGTAGAGAACAAATGGATTTGTCAGTTAAAAATAGGAGAGGAGAGTTATTAAATGGAGAGTTAGAGGTATTGGGAAGATGGAAGGAATATTTTGAGGAATTGTTAAATGTTGATGAAGATAGGGAAGCTGTGATTTCGTGTATAGGGCAAGGAGGAATAACATCTTGTAGGAGTGAGGAAGAGCCAGTTGTGAGTGTGGGGGAAGTTCGTGAGGCAGTAGGTAAAATGAAAGGGGGTAAGGCAGCCGGGATTGATGGGATAAAGATAGAAATGTTAAAAGCAGGTGGGGATATAGTTTTGGAGTGGTTGGTGCAATTATTTAATAAATGTATGGAAGAGGGTAAGGTACCTAGGGATTGGCAGAGAGCATGCATAGTTCCTTTGTATAAAGGCAAAGGGGTTTAAAAGAGAGTGCAAAAATTATAGGGGGATAAGTCTGTTGAGTGTACCTGGTAAAGTGTATGGTAGAGTTATAATTGAAAGAATTAAGAGTAAGACGGAGATAGGATAGCAGATGAACAAGGAGGCTTTAGGAAAGGTAGGGTGGTGTGTGGACCAGGTGTTTACAGTAAAAACATATAAGTGAACAGTATTTAGATAAGGCTAAAGAGGTCTTTGTGGCATTTATGGATTTGGAAAAGGCGTATGACAGGGTGGATAGGGGGGCAATGTGGCAGATGTTGCAAGTGTAGGTGTAGGAGGTAGGTTACTGAAAGCAGTGAAGAGTTTTTACGAGGATAGTGAGGCTCAAGTTAGAGTATGTAGGAAAGAGGGAAATTTTTTCCAAGTAAAAGTAGGCCTTAGACAAGGATGTGTGATGTCACCGTTGTTGTTTAATATATTTATAGATGGGGTTGTAAGAGAAGTAAATGCGAGGGTCTTGGCAAGAGGCGTGGAGTTAAAAGATAAAGAATCACACACAAAGTGGGAGTTGTCACAGCTGCTCTTTGCTGATGACACTGTGCTCTTGGGAGATTCTGAAGAGAAGTTGCAGAGATTGGTGGATGAATTTGGTAGGGTGTGCAAAAGAAGAAAATTAAAGGTGAATACAGGAAAGAGTAAGGTTATGAGGATAACAAAAAGATTAGGTGATGAAAGATTGAATATCAGATTGGAGGGAGAGAGTATGGAGAGGTGAACGTATTCAGATATTTGGGAGTGGACGTGTCAGCGGATGGGTCTATGAAAGATGAGGTGAATCATAGAATTGATGAGGGAAAAGAGTGAGTGGTGCACTTAGGAGTCTGTGGAGACAAAGAACTTTGTCCTTGGAGGCAAAGAGGGGAATGTATGAGAGTATAGTTTTACCAACGCTCTTATATGGGTGTGAAGCGTGGGTGATGAATGTTGCAGCGAGGAGAAGGCTGGGGCAGTGGAGATGTCATGTCTGAGGGCAATGTGTGGTGTAAATATAATGCAGAGAATTCGTAGTTTGGAAGTTAGGAGGAGGTGCGGGATTACCAAAACTGTTGTCCAGAGGCTGAGGAAGGGTTGTTGAGGTGGTTCGGACATGTAGAGAGAATGGAGCGAAACAGAATGACTTCAAGAGTGTATCAGTCTGTAGTGGAAGGAAGGCGGGGTAGGGGTCGGCCTAGGAAGGGGTTGGAGGAGGGGGTAAAGGAGGTTTTGTGTGCGAGGGGCTTGACTTCCAGCAGGCATGCGTGAGCGTGTTTGATAGGAGTGAATGGAGACAAATGGTTTTTAATACTTGACGTGCTGTTGGAGTGTGAGCAAAGTAACATTTATGAAGGGATTCAGGGAAACCGGCAGGCCGGACTTGAGTCCTGGAGATGGGAAGTACAGTGCCTGCACTCTGAAGGAGGGGTGTTAATGTTGCAGTTTAAAAACTGTAGTGTAAAGCACCCTTCTGGCAAGACAGTGATGGAGTGAATGATGGTGAAAGTTTTTCTTTTTCGGGCCACCCTGCCTTGGTGGGAATCGGCCGGTGTGATAATAAAGATAATAAATAAAATGCAATTGATACAATGTTATGGTCCTTGAAGGTGAGATCCTCCGACATGATCACTCCCAGATCTTTGACATTAGTTTTTTGCTCTATTGTGTGGTTGGAATTTGTTTTATACTGTGATGAAGTTTTAATTTCCTCACGTTTACCATATCGGAGTAAATTGAATGTTCTCATCGTTGAACTTCATATTGTTTCTGCAGCCCACTGAAAGATTTGGCTGATGTTCACCTGGAGCCTTGCAGTGTCTTCATTGGAAGACACTGTCATGCAGATTCAGGTGCCATCTGCAAAGGAAGACATGGCACTCTGGCTTATATCCCTGTCTATGGCTGATATGAGGATGAGGAACAAGTTTGTGAGCGAGTACTGTGCTTTGCAAAACAGAGCTTATCACCGTAGCCGCCTCAGACTTTACTCTGTTGGCTACTACTCTTTGTTTTCTATTTGTCAGGAAATTATAGATCCATCTACCAATTTTTCCTGTTATTCCTTTGGGCACGCATTTTGTGCGCTATTAAAACCAAAGGGTCACACTTGTCAAAGGCTTTTGCAAAGTCTGTGTAATTACATCTGCATTCTTTTTGTCTTCTAGTGCATCCAGGACTTTTGTCGTAGTGATCCCTAGTTGGACAGACAGGAAACGACCTGCTCAAAACTCTGGGTTGTGCAATTGATGGGTACTAGATGGGGAGCAATCTTGCTTCTTAGGACCCTTTCAAAGAATTTTTAGGATATGGGATGTTAGCGCTATTGGTCTGTAGTTCTTTTCTATTGCTTTAAATGCCCCCTTTGGGAAGGGGGCTATGTCTTGTTTTTTGTAACTGTGGGACAACCCCATTTTCCATGCTCCCTCTCCATAAGATGTTAACCCTTTCAGGGTTCGGACGTACTAGTACGGCTTACGCACCAGTGTCCATGACGTACTAGTACGCATAAATTCTAGCCCCCTTCAAATCTAGTGAGAGAAAGCTGGGAGGGCCCACATATGAAAGAATGGGTCTATGTGGTCAGTTTTGTGCATATAAAAAAAAAAAATCCTGCAGCACAGAGTACATAATGAGAAAAAAACTTTACCTTGTTTTTGGGTTTAAAACAGAGATTTGCACTTTATTTTCATATGGTACAGTGGACCCCCGGTTAACGATATTTTTTTTACTCCAGAAGTATGTTTCAGGTGCCAGTACTGACCGAATTTGTTCCCATAAGAAATATTGTGAAGTAGATTAGTCCATTTCAGACCCCCAAACATACACGTACAAACGCACTTACATAAATACACTTACATAATTGGTCACATTCGGAGGTAATCTTATGCGGGGTCCACTGTATTTATTATTGTATTCTAGTTTCCTGGGGCTCATTGTATAGAATGAAGATATATTACAGAAATTGAGATGATTTTTGACTGGTTTTTACAATGAAAAATACCTTGAAATTGAGCTCAAAGTAGCAGAAATGTTCGATTTTACCAAAGTTCAAAAATGAACAAATCATGCTAAGCATCCAAAACACTCAACTGGTGAGTCTATATTCTTTTTTTCAAGTGCGCTGATAATATTTATGCCCTTTTTTACACTAATGCAGTAGTCTGCATAACAGTAAATTTTTTTTTTTGTGAGAATAAAAATTCAAACTGGAAACAAAAAGGGTGGTACATTAAGGTTAGTTAAAAAAGAACCTGGAGTAGTGTGGTGGTACAGTAAATGTGGTAGTAATAAAGTACCGGAGAGTGGTGGTACAGTAAGTGTGGTAGTGTAAAAAATACCCTGGATAGTGTGGGCTTGGGTGGTGGTGGTTGGTGCTGAGAACGTGGAGATACAGTTGAACCATCTGTAAAGTTATCCTGGAGTACGAGGTCATCCTTGGCTTGCTGGACACCAAACACCAGTCCAGCCTCCACCAGCCTCTTGACACTCTCACTCATCCAACGAAGATGAATCAATCAGTGGACAGTTATCACCATTATCACCTCTTCCACAGTGTCACTACCATATCACCTGTGTACAGTATCACTACCATTATCCCCCAAAAAATGATGCAGTCTCAGCATCATTATTAACAAGTGTACAGTGTCCACTATCATTAGAGTGTCGAGCAGCACCAATATGACAAGTGTCCATACATCTATCACCCATATACAGTGCCAGCACCATTATCACAGGTGTACAGTGTTATGATATGTTGCTTCAGCATGAGTAGTGTTTGAACAAAGGAGAATGACAAAAGCCACTATAATGTACAGAAACATTTTGGCCAAACTTAAGAATAATAAGGCAAAAACAAAGCAGTGTAAATTTAGGTGTTTTTTTTTTTTACAATGAATAAAATAAAGAATATTGTATTAGTTCAGACTAATTGACTTGAACAAGTTTACTTGAGAGGAAATACAAGTTTCATTATAAACCTAAAGTGGACATAATTGGTTCAATGATCGTGAGAGTTACAGATACGGTGGACCCTCGATTTTTTGTGATTAATCTGTTCCAGAGAACTACAAAAGTCGAAATTCCAGAGAAATCGAAACCCCAAAAAATTTTTTTTTTCTTATAAGAAATAATTAAATCCAATTAATCTGTTCCAGACACCCAAAAAATATTTTTTATGGATTAATATAGATTTACATATATAAAGGGAAGAGAATCAATTATAAAGCAATAATAAAATGTATAAAAGATCATTTAACATCATAACACTTACCTTATTGAAGACACTTTTGATGTATGGAAGACGGGAGATGGAGAGGGTTACGGTTATGTTCCTCCAAAAATTTTGCACTTCCACCCCACTTTGCCAAAATGACTTTAATCTTTAACCCTTTGAGGTTTTCGGATGTACTAGTATGGCTTTACACGCGGGTTTTTGACGACTAGTATGCATAAATCTAACCGTCAAATCTTCATGGGAAAAGGCTAGGTAGGCCGTAGATTGAGAGAATGGGTCTGTGTGGTCGGTGTGCATGGCGAGAAATAAAATCTGGGACCCAGTGGTGCATTGTGGGAATGCCTCTTAGTACACAATGTCCCCATGCCTCGCGGTAAGAAGTTCCTCAATCCTCAGCCAATTGGGACACTTTTGTTTCCCCAGTGACAGTCTATACAGATGGAAGTGCCAGTGAAGATGAGTTTCCAGGTTTGGTGAGGTTTTGACCGAAACTAATGATCATAATATCAGTAATAGTTAGAAAACCCGACGTACCCTCAGCCTTCCCACCTCTGGTGCTGGCCATCATTTTCACATCAGTTGTACCAAATCAAAGAGGAACTGCTATTTTCCCAAATCCAGACCTCAGATGTGAGCATTTGTGAGATAATGATAGTGTTAAGGAACTACAGCTCTTGAAACAGTTCAGTAGGATAAGTGAAGTGGAATATTCCCCAGCGAAGGGGTCCAGTCCCTGGACCCATTATGTACCTTTGTAATCTTTTGACTACCGCCCACAGTATGGGTATGGGAGCATAAAAAGACTTAAACTAACTAACCCCCTGTGAAGCATCAGTATATACATGATATATGCACTCTGGTAGTGAGCCATATGGCTATTCCAGGGAAGGAGTACATCCTCGGAGTACATCCCATGGCTGTACAACAGGAACAGACAGAGAAAATGACGTGATAGTGTTGCAATTGGGATGGAAAATGTGCCTGTTGGTGTAGTGGTGGTGATGGCCGTGATGACACCACAGTGGGCCATGCTGCACCCACGCCTCTGCCTCAGCTGGATCTACAAAAAGGCCACATCCCTCCACCACCCACCAAACCCAGCCCTCCACACCACAACCTCCACAACCACAACCACCTGTCATTGTCCACATACTCACCAGCAGAATGCACTGGGATTGGGGCAGGAAGCTTCAATTTTTGTTCCAAATGCCCACCAGTTTGATGACAGCCAAAGTGTAAATACGGCCATCATGTACACTTGGGAACAATGCCCGTGAACTGGAATGTTTCGAGTTATTCTTTGACGAATCCCTGATGGAAAGTATTGTCCATGGAAGGCAACCATACTAGCGAGTACACCATGGCAAACACAATACCTTTCACCAAAATCAAATCTACACCAGTGGAAGGAGGCAACTGTGGCTGAGATGTATCTTTTCTTTGCCACAATAATGCTTATGCCAACATGTGTATAAGCACAAAGTGAAATCATACTGGTCAACAGACCGCCTGATTGCAACCCCAGGTTTCAGTGATATAATGCCAGGAATCGATTTGTGCTAATGTTACGTATGCTTCACTTCTCAGACAAAACCAGCCTGACAGGAAACAACGGGTAATATAAGATTTAGACATGTGTTTGTGTTCCTGAAAGAGAAATTCGTTATGTATTTTTATCCCTTCAGGAACTTGTAATTGTCGAGTCCATTGATTCTGTTTCAGGAAAAGGAAGACTCACTTTCAAGCATATATACAAAGCAAGAGAAACGCTTTGGTATCAAGTTGTTTTGGCTTGTGATTGTTACAGTGGTCTGGTATTGGATATAATTGTGTACACTGGAAATTATACATTGCAAAATACCAGGAAGTTATTAGCATCTCTGGTGATGTGGTTAGAACAATGATAGAACCATAACTTGGTAAGGGGCATATATTTTAAATATTGATAACTGGTACACAAGCCCCTCACTCAGTGCTTTTTTAGTGAGTGAACATGAAGATATGTGTGGCACAGTGTGTGTAAATCGGAAACCATATGCCTAGTTTTTAACGTGGCACTCTAGAGTGAGGTGCAGGCGTTTGCTGCCAATGACATCATGGCATTTCATGGCATGACAAACGAGATGTCACACTGTTGTCATCAGTTCACTCTAATGAAATGGCAGACAGCACAGAGAGAGCAATGAACCCATTCTAAAACCTGCAGCTGTGATTGATTACACCTTCAATATGCATTCAGTGGACAAATGGACATGCAGATTGGGTTTGCGATTGGTGTTCGCAAGTATAAGTGGTACTAAAACTCTTTTTTCTATCTTCTGGACATTTCCATGCTCAAAGCTTATAATATGTATGAGATGAGGACCAGAAGCAAACCACAATACAGGAGGGCCCCACTTATATGGCAGGTTAGGTTCCAGGCTACCGCCGTAAAGCGGAAATCGCCGTAAAGTGGAACACCCTTTTTTTCCACTTATAAATGCATAAAAACACTAGAATAACAAGTTTACACTAACATAATATTCAGTTAGCAATAGAACCCAGCATCAAAAACAAAAAAAAGGTACAATACAACACATAGTGCACTCATTCTTTATCCTTAAAATATTTATAGTCTTAATCTAGGGTGAGACAAGAGTATTATTGTAGAAACCAAGTGTGGTAAAATGTAATAGCCAGACTACCTCGCCAGGTCCACCCCACCCACACATACTATTCTATGATATTTAGCATCCCAGAGCGATAAAATGTATATACAGTTCACGTCATTACTTACCTTAAAATATTGAACGTCTTAATGTAGGGTCATGAGTAAGTAAATTGAGATAAAACAATAAATGAGGGGGGGAGAGAGAGAAAGAATGAGTAACCATGTGAGAGGTAACAGGCGCAGAGTTATGTAAACAAACCAGGCTCCCACATCTTATATTTATGTTTATTTATTCTATTGTGGGGTGTATTTATCATCTTTTTATGTTATGTATCGTGTTTATTATATAATTTTGAAAAAAATATCATGGCTGGATTAATGAAAATGTGTATATTACCGTAATATACGACATTTAATGAGACTCGGTGACTATTGTTATTATCACCACTTGTGGAAGTCGTCTGCTACCACAGCTCACATTTAAGTTTATTTATTCTACTGTGGGGTGTATTTATCTTATTTATATGTTATGCATCGTGTTTATTATATAATTTTGAAAAAAATATCATGGATGGATTAATGAAAATGTGTATATTACCGTAATATACGACATTTAATGAGACTCGGTGACTATTGTTATTATGGCGTCACTTGTCGAAGTCATCTGCTCACATCTCACATTTGTTTATTTATTCTATTGTGGGGTGTATTTATCTTATTTATATGTTATGCATCGTGTTTATTACATAATTTTGAAAAAAATATCATGGATGGATTAATGAAAATGTGTATATTACGGTAATATACGACATTTAATGAGACTCAGTGACTATTGTTATTATGGCGTCACTTGTCGAAGTCGTCTGCTCACATCTCACATTTGTTTATTTATTCTACTGTGGGGTGTATTTATCTTATTTATATGTTATGCATCGTGTTTATTATATAATTTTGAAAAAAATATCATGGATGGATTAATGAAAATGTGTATATTAACGTAATATACGACATTTAAATGACTTGATGTATGTAAGTTTATTTAGGTACAGGTATACATAAGTATAATTATCAGAGTATATATAAAATATGAAATAACTTTTAAAAACATTTGAAATTTTGGAGTTTCCAGACAAAATGGAGAGACTTAGAGATTACTGAGCTCATGGAGAATGTAAACAAACAGGGTGGGGCACGGTGACCGTATTAGAAAGTCAGGTGGGGGGAGCCGTATAGTGAGTTTTGGTCATAATTTGAAATGTCCGTATTAGCGGAACGCCGTAAAGTGGAACGCCGTAAAGCGGGGCCCTCCTGTATGGCGAATTCTGTTTGTCTGTCATCAGACAAATAGTATTCAAATACCAAGGAACAACACCTGCAATAGACCGCCCACCAAATTATCAACAACTACCTTCTCGTCTGAAGCATGGTGATCACTTGCTAGTAAAACTGTCTGCTACTGCTTTCAAGAAAAAGGCTCAGAAGAGGTGTTACGTCTGTGCACATACAAGGAAACGCCCACAACAATGCAGAGACACTCGTTTTATGTGTGAGGAGTGTAAAACACCACTGTGCATGACACCATGTTTTATGTGTGAGGAGTGTAAAACACCACT